TTAAGTGTTTTCATACACTTTAAGGGAGTTTGTTCCCTTGTTGTAAACTCGAAGGAAGTTTCTTGTTCCTTCGTGAGAAGTCTTGGAGTGCGGTATCTCCGAGCAAAGGTGTTGAGGCTCGTGTGACTCGGGTTCTCAAGTTGTATCGGTTTGTTAAGCACCCTTAAGCTTAACGGAGTTAGTGTAGCTCGAGAGAGTCTCTCGGGGGGCTGGATTAGCCACACGTTGTGGTGAACCAGGATAAAATCCGGTGTGCTCCTTCTTTACGCTCTTTACTTTAACGCTCTCGTTTTAATTTCCTGCGATTTTGTTTTAAACGCTATTCACCCCCCCCTCTAGCGTTGGGCCTTTATTCTAACATTTTTCTCACACAGTGAGTTTGAAGATTTTCTATGTTGAAAGAGTTGTTAGTGATAGGAATGAATTGGAATGACTTGGTTTAAATAGGAGGAGAAGTTAAGAAGGGGAGGTTCACGGGTTCCATTTAGTGGGTAGTTGGAACGGTGAGAGTAAAAGAGTTTCAACTCCCAAGGAGTTGAATTTTGACAAGTTGAAAGAATCTTTTACCGGTTACCAATGTGTTGAAACTGTTTCAAATGAGATCAGTTTCATTTGGTTTGAAAAACGTAACTGCTTTGGTTTGTCTAAGCCCAAAAGAGTGGCCCAGAAAAAAATCTATATACTAAAGGGAAATTATTCATATTGGGTTCTCAAGGCCCAAAATAAGATTTATCATTTTTCATTCCCTATAGTTCTAATTTCTAATTAGGACGAGGCAGTACCAAAAGAAGTAAATTTCATTTTTAAAAGTAAAGTAGTACTAATTTTCCAAAGTCCTATACATTATAAAAATCCTAAGGTTTAGTACTTTAGAGCAAAGTTGGAAATGAACTAAGGATTGAAACTAAGTTTAAGAGGGCAGATATTGCAGAATACCTGAATTAGAGATCTCCAACTCTGGTAAAAATTGAGGTATCTGTCTTCCATTGCTTAAAGTTTATCAGTAGTTCATTGCCAAAAAACAAATATTAGCCAAAAACAGTTAAGTTCCCCCCTGAATTACATTCCCCCTGAATGTATGCGCTCAATAATAAATCTCAAAAATCATACTTAAAAGAAATATGTTCAAGCCTAATTAAGAGATGTATTAAACAATGTTTAAACCAAAAACTCATGTTTAAACTAGAAGGTGTTTTCATCAAAACATAAATAACGTTTTCAATACTTCCTCCTGTTTGGATGAAAAGAGCGTTCACTTCTTCTTGCGCTTGGATGATCCGGCAACTTCACCAATGCCTTGCATAACCCCACACTTTTCCTCGATGCGTTTGAGGTTGTTATATCTCTCTTCTGTCTGGGCATCATTTGTGAAGTGGGAGGCAATGGTTCCTACAGCTTCTGTTCCATCAAATTAAACTCAGTGTTTGACAGATGCTGGATTGAGTTCTCTGGATTGCTCTGCTGGGCTTCAAGTATCAGCTCTGTCATGTTTAGGTGTGATGGAATGTATGAGAGTTCTCCTTGTTTAACTTCAATCGGAAACTTCGGAATTTGAGATGGACTTCTGGGTTGAACAATCACTTCCAGCTTGTGTTTCCCAGTGAAGGTGCCAAAGTGTCTGAAGAGCCTGAAAGCTTCTTTTTGATTGTCAGCAAGAACCTTTAGGTGATCTAGAGTTACCACCTGGTTTGCTGATGACACTGCCAAGGCTGATCTGATATCCATCTGGAAGAGTGACATCTGCTTTTGCTGCTTGATTGCAGTGGCTTTTTTGAGTTGAAGATGGCAGTCAGATGCATAAGCCATCATTGTATTGCTCACAGACTTACTCAACAGAGAAATGATCTCTAGAGTTTTGTCTACAGATTTGCTTATCTCGTTGAGATTTGAGCAATACTTTTCTTCAGATTTTTACATCATTTGGTTGTGCCTTGTTTCCATCTACTCTATCTCTTGCCTAAAAGAGGCATGTTGAGACTTTAGGGTTGATTCAATCAACCCTTGGACCTTCCTTGTCCAGGCTTCCGGTATCTCATCCGAAAGTGTGGTTGCTGAAGAGCTGTGAAAGTGAAAGTTTGTTACCTGATTTGAAGAAGGTGCTTTATAGAAGAGTTGCAGAGAGAGATTGAGCATCATCTCCTTGCTCAGCTTCTTCTTCATTAATCTTCAGGGTCTTCATTGACTCTTCATCTGTTTCTTCCTCTGTAGTGTCTGGAAGAGGTGACTCTTCCTGATTCTCTTTTGACTTTTCCGAAGTTTCAGGTTCTATTGTGTTGGAGATCTCAAAAGGGGTTGAGAGAAACTCTTGAACCTGAAATTGTAGGGATTGTAGAAGCTCTTCTTCAGATGCTGTTTGAATCTGTTCTTGCTGGGGAATAGCTGCATTCTCCTGGACAGCTTCAGGCAGAACAGTATCAGAAGCAGGTGAGGTTTCCAGAAAAACATGGAAATCTTCAGCTCCAGCTTCCATGTCAGCCTGTGCTTCAGTGGTGAGTACAGTCTGATCTTTAGTTTGTTTTGAGAGGATTGGTTTCTAGGGGTGAGCAAATTAACCGGACCGACCGCGAATCTGAAAATCGAAAACCGAAATAACCGGAAGTTCGGTTTCGGTTTTCATGTAAAAAAAATTTTTGGTTTTTTTGATTTTTCGGTCGGTTTTTGTTTTTTTTGTAAGAAAAACTGAACCGACCGAATAACCGATGATTTTATTTTAATTTATTTTTTATTTTTTAAAAATAAGAAAATATTTGATTAACACATATGCTTTCTTTTTACTCTTTCATGGAAAACTATAATGTTTCACTTTTAAAAAATTTATTTGTTAATGTTTTGAACATATTAATAAGAAAAGTGCAATTTTTCTATGAAATGGATAGTGTATATTCAAATAAAAAATAATCTACCTTACTAAATCAATGAGAATAGAAAAGTCTTAATCTAAACTAATTTAATACATATCAATCTACCTTGCCAAATTAGTTTCTTGAATTTATATTAAAAAATCAAAATAAAAGTAATTAGAATTCGGTTTTTCGGTCGGTTTTTTTGATGTATGGGCGGTTTTCGGTTTCGGTTCGGTCGGTTTTATTTATGGTCGGTTCGGTTCGGTCGGTTTTCAACCATGTTAAAAAAAGTCGGTTTTTTTGGTTTCAAACCGAAACCGACCGAAAACAACTGTTGCTCAGCCCTATTGGTTTGTAGACTGCCGGGTCCTCATCATCAGCTTCAAACTCTGAGAAGGGAGAGGTTGTCAAGTATTTCATATGTAGATTTTCATTGGTTTTCTGCCAGACCCATTCATCATCCAGAATTTGCTCACAACAGTAGTTGATTGGCAGTCCCAAACACCTCTTGATAACCTTCTCATTCTTCAGTTGTTAATCCCATTCAAGCAACTGATTTGCAGAGTTTCCAACCTTCCAAGCTCTCCAATCATAGTAGAGCTGCATGAATTTGCTCACTTCATCGTCAGTTTGAGCTTGTGATGGAGAAGATGGAAGACTCTGGTCTTGAGGAGTGACAAACTGTTGACGACTCTGTTCCCGTGCAGAGACTTCCTCAATTGGTTCATTCTGTACCAAGTCATCCGGATTGGCATTTCCAGATGTGGAGGGAGAGAAGACTCTTCTTTTCTTCTTCTTAAGAAGCTCTCCTTGAAGAAGGACTTCTTCTTCTTCATCCAAATTAACCAGGGCAAGAGTGTGTGGTTCCTCATGACTAGGAGAGGGAGAAACCATTTGCTTCCTCTTTGAGGACTTCTTCAGACTTACAATTAGGACATTGTCTGAAGAGCCTTCATCTTCTGCAGTAGAGCCAATATCTGGCATCATACTTCTTGCCTTTAGAAGCAACACCCAAGGATTCCAAAATGTACCCAAGGTACAATCCTTGACAGAGATATTTCTGCTTGGGCTTTCCTAAGTGCTTTGAAACAGAGTTGAAAAAGTGTTTAGCCCAATTCACCTTGGTTCTGGTGATAAGGGTGTTGATGATGAATGCCCTTTCTTGAGTTATGTCATCTGCATGTCCTCCACTGCCACATTCTAGGCATGCAATGACTAGCTCTAGGACCAATTTATAGTCGTTTTCCAGATCAGCCTTCTTTGCTGGGCCAGAGGGGATTTGTCCAGAAATCCCAATAGTCTACCACTCCAGATTTTTGGACGAGAGCTTCCCAATTTCAATTCTAGAATTGGGAAAATGGAGCTTCTTCTTCAATTTCTTCTTTGAAATGCTCACTTTGGTGCCTCCAACAGTGGACTTGATTACTTGAATCGTCCTCTGTGGGTTCTTCTTGGATTGAATCGTTGAGACTTTTCCGTTCTTGTAGAATTCAAGAACTTCTTCTTCATACTTGAAGCCAATTTCCAGATGAAGGAATTCGGAGAGTTCCTGTGCAGCAATCACCTCCAAATAAGTTTGATAGAACGCCGGTGAAGAACATTTGGCTTCTAATTTCTGGAAATGAACATTAGCTCCAACAATCTTCATTTTTGGTGAATTTTGGGGGAAAGAATCTGAAGAAATTAGGGTTCTTGAGATTTCTTGTGAGGATGACGACGAAAATTTGAGTTAGCTGAGTGGGCAGTTAAGATCTGAATGTAATGGCGATTGGGTTTAATTTTGGGCAATTTATGCGGCTAGTGGCGATTTGGTTTTCAACTGTTCCCAAGGCCACGTGCCTACCCATTACTTTATCAGACGTGGTAAGTGGACTGCCACATGTACCGCACTCAGTCTAATTGGATTAGACCAATTTTGTGAAGCAAATTGAAAAACTTGGCTTCACTTAGTGGTTTTGTGAAGATATCCGCCAGTTGTTCTTCAGTTGAGATGTACTCAATTTTGATATCGTTCTTTTCCACATGATCTCTGATGAAGTGATGCTTGACATTAATGTGCTTAGTGCGAGAGTGATGCACTGGATTTTGTGAGATGGATATAGCACTTTGATTGTCACAAAATATTGTCACTTCCTTTGTTTTCACTCCATAATCCAGTAGTTGTTGCTTTAACCACAAGATTTGAGCACAACAACTACCAGCAACAATATACTCTGCTTCTGCTGTTGATGTAGAGATGGAGTTTTGTTTCTTACTGAACTAGGAAACAAGATTTCCGCCAATGAATTGACAAGTGCCAGATGTGCTCTTCCGATCAACTTTGCATCCGGTAAAGTCAGAATCTGAGTATCCCACTTACTCAAATGAGCTTCTCTTAGCATACCATAAACCCATATTCTGAGTTCCTTTGAGGTATATAAGAATCCTTTTGGCTGCAATTAAATGACTTTCCTTTTGCTTTGACTGGAATCTAGCACAAACACCTACTACATATGAGATATCCAGGCGGCTTGCAGTAAGGTAGAGTAGAGATCCAACTATTCCTCTATAGAGAGTTTGATCAACATCCTTTCCATCTACATCCATGTCAAGCTTGGTGGATGTACTCATGGGGACAGAAACGGATGACTTCTGATCAACTTTGAACTTCTTGATAAGATTCCTTGTGTACTTGGCTTGCTTTATGAGAGTCCCTTCACTTCTCTGTTTGATTTGAAGACTAATGAAGTAGTTGAGTTCCCCCATCATGCTCATCTCAAATTTTCCTTGCATGAGGGTGGAGAATTTGGTGCAAAGAGCTTCCTTAATTGAGCCAAATATGATGTCGTCCACATAGATTTGGACCAAAAGGAGATCTTATCTTGAAGTTTGAACAAGGTCTTGTCAATTACTCCTTTGATGAATCCATTGTCTATTAGAAACTGAGACAATGTATCATACCAAACTCTTGTTGCTTGTTTGAGTCCATATAGCGCATTTTTGAGTCTATACACTTGATCACCTTTAGTGTGTAACTCAAATCCTGGAGGTTGTTCCACATAAACTTCTTCCTCTAGGTTTCCGTTGAGAAATGCGCTTTTGACATCCATTTGATAGACTTTGAAGTCCTTATGAGCAGCAAAGGCTAGAAACAACCTTATAGCTTCAAGTCTAGCAACTGGAGTGAAGGTTTCATCAAAATCTATACCTTCTTCTTGACAATAACCTTTGGCAACCAACTGGGCTTTGTTTCTGACAACAACGCCGTTTTCATCCATCTTGTTCCGGAAGACCCACTTTGTCCCAATGACATGTTGATGAGTATGTCTAGGAACAAGTTTCCAAACGTCATTTCTGGTGAATTGGTTGAGTTCTTCTTGCATTGCGTTGATCCAATCAGAATCAGCTAGAGCTTCTTCAATGCTCTTTGGTTCTACTTGCGAGATGAAACAAGCAAACATGGCTTCTAGATTCTGTTGAGCACTCCTTGTGCGAACGCCTGATTGAATATCTCCAATGACTTGTTGAGGAGGAAAATCCCTTAACCAACAAAGATTGTGTTGATTAGGATTATCTGGCTAATCTAGTTCAGCTTCTGGTTGAAGAACAGAGTTTGTTGGTGTTTCCGGATGGATTGGCTCTTGATCGCCATTTCCGGAATGGTCGTCATGTGAGTGATCTGGAATGTTGGAAGGCTGGCCATGATTTCCGGTAGGCTTAACACTGTCTGGATTTCTTTGTGAAGTCTTCAGAGGTAGACTTCCAAATGGAATGAACTCCATAGGCTTCATTCCATTTCCTTCATTGATTTCTTCATCTTTGTCTGAGAGATCCAGAACCTTATGCTTTGATGGCTTGTCAACTACATGTTTTTCATCAAAAATAACATGTATTGACTCTTCAGTGATCATGGTTCTTTTGTTGAAGACTCTGAATGCCTTGCTCACCATAGAATATCCAAGGAAGATGGCTTCATCTGATTTCTCATCAAAAGTGTTCAGATGATTCTTCCCGTTGTTCAACACAAAACACTTGCTCCCAAAAATATGAAAATATGATGTATTAGGCTTTCTCCCATTCCACAGTTCATAGGGAGTTTTGTTGTGCCTTTTATAAATCTTACTCCTATTTTGAGTATAGCAAGCAGTGTTTACAGCTTCAGCCCAGAACCTCTTTGGCAAGAAAGCTTCTGCCAGCATGGTTCTTACTGCTTCCTTCAAGGTTCTGTTTCTTCTTTCAGCTACACCGTTCTGTTGAGGTGTCCTTGCTGCGGATGTCTGATGAAGAATTCTGTTTTCTTCACAGTAATGGATGATAATCTCATTCAGGAATTCTGTGCCTTTGTCAGATCTGATCTTCTGAATGGTCTGACTTGCTTGGTTTTGATTAGCTTCATGTAGTTTGTGAGCTTTCCCTGAGTTTCCTTCTTGCTGTTGAGGAAGATTGTCCACGTGTATCTTGAATAGTCATCAACTACTACCAGGACATATTTCTTTCCACTTTGGAGTAACAGGTCCAAATAGGTCCATGTGAATAAGACTTTAGTATCCTTGTAGTTGAGTGTGCTGGTTTTGCCTTGAAAGTAGATTTGACTTGCTTTCCTTTCTGACAAGCATCACAAATGCTTTCCTTCTTGTACACAGCTTTGGGAAGACCTTCTACTAACCCTTCTTTGGATAGTTTGTTGAGGGTTTTGAAGTTGAGATGACTCAACCTCTTATGCCAAAGCCATAGAAGGTTAGTGTCACCTTTGCTGATTAGGCATGCTTCCTTGACATCGTCCCACATTACTTCATAGATGTTTCTGATTCTCTTCCCAGTGAGAATGACTTCATTTGTGGAGATGTTCTTGAGGGATGCCATATCCTTGCAGAATTCCAGAGAATAACCCTTATCACAGAACTGACTTATGTTAAGAAGGTTATGGTTGAGACCTTCCACATAAGACACAGCCTGGATGGTTAATCCCTTGCACACCAGATTTCCTAGCCCCTTTGTAAGGCCAAAATCATTGCTTTTTCCAAAAGTAACTCTTGGACCGTCATAGGGAATTAGATTGCTCAAAAGGCTTGCATCACCTGTCATGTGTCTTGAACAGCCACTGTCTAAGTACCAGACACCTGGGTACTTAGTGGCTTCTTGCATTAGGAGGAGGAAGATTTTGGTACCCAATTCAAGTGGGGTCCGGAATGGTTAATGGTGTGTGTCCCCACATCAGGTTTGAAGTTGCAGGGAATTTTACTGGCCGCTCTAAACTTGTTGGGATTATAGTCATAATTGTAGGCATAGAACTTCCTACGTGCAGGTGGTGCTATTTCCTGTTTCCTCCTAGCAAACCTAGGTTGGTAAGACCTATAGTTTTGTCTAGGTTGTGCATAGTGTGGCCTGTGATGGTTATAAACATACTTAGGTGGAACAAATAGTTTCTGGGGTGGGGGATGACTATATCTTGGCATAGTTCTCCACTTAGAATTTCTTGGAAAACTTCTATCTACCCCATAATGAGTATAGCCTCGTGTATAGTGGGGGTTAGAAGGTTTTCTTCTGAGATTGTTTCCTCTTTGAGGTGTGTCTAGGTTCCTATAATTTTTAGGAGGGACTACCTTTTTGGGAACTTCTGTAAGTTTCTCCTTCTCCTTACCTTTCTGCTTATTGGGTTTGGCAATAGGTTTGGGAGGGATAAAAGTTGTTCTCCCTTTCCTTTTGGAATTGGAGGGGTCAAAACCAAGTCCTTCACAACCCTTACGTTTGGTCGTTTCAAGAAGCTTATCCACTGCTTCTTTGAACTTTAGTATCCCTAGCTCCTTGTTGAGGAATTTCACCTTTTCAGAAAGAGATTCATTCTCAGCCTTGATTTGAGTAATCTCACTTAGTTGACTTTTCCGACCTTCAGTCAACTTGAAATTCTCTTCACTCAATAGCTTGTTCTCCTCTGATAGGGATGTGTGTTTAAGATTTATTTCCTCAAAATCTTCCATAATCTTTTTGAACTTGTCAAAAAGATTTTCAGAAGTTGGTATGCTTTCATAAGAAGATGAACATGAGGTTTGTGAAGTTACCTCTTGATCAGCATCATCTTTGGCTATTAGGCAGAGAGTGTCATCTTCTGACATGGTCCACCGATCCTCTTGGTTGGACTTCTCAGCTCTGCGCTCCATGCAGACGAGGGCTTCTTCATCCGAGCTTGAGCTGGATGACTCGTCACTCTCAGCTGCTACCATTGCCTTCTTCTTCTCGTTTCTTTCTCTTTCTCCGTACTTCTCCACTTTTGGGTACGGGCATGCTGACTTCCAGTGGCCAGGCTTCCTGCAGTTATAGCACAAATAAGATTCAGGAGGGGAGTCACTTACCTGTGGCTTTCCCTTGGATGGCCTTCTGACTGAGTCAGCTTTCTTGAAAAACTTTTTGAACTTCCGGAATTGCTTGATCATCATGGCAAATTCCTCATCGTAGTTCTCCGTTTTTGATGGCTGCCTGGATGAAGGAGTGTCACAGTTCCTTGGGCATGTCCCTTCGCTTGCTGGGACTCTAGGAGTTGTCATCAGTGCCGTGGGAAATGGAGTGACTTGTTCTTCCTTCTTCTTCTTCAGCTCGTGCTCATAGGTTCTGAGCTCATCTAGGAGACCTTGGACAGTGTAGTTCTCCAGATTTCTTCCTTCTTCCATAGCTGTGGCTTTGGTGTACCACTCAGCTCGAAGAGATCTCAGTAACCTTACATTCTTTTCTTTGGGAGAAAGAACGTGGTTAAGTGATGCAAGATCATTCAAAATTTTGTAAAATCTTTCATCCAACATATCAAATAATTCTCCGGGAAGCATTTTGAAGCTTTTGAACTTCTCGAGCAAGACCTCTATCTTCTGCTTTCTCAGATCCTCCGATCCCTCACATAAAAAATAACTTCGAAAAATATGAGTTGAGTGTTATGTTTAAATAATGAGAATTTTCAAAATTTTTGAATCTTTTTATAAACCTAACGACTAACTTTCAAAAGAAATAGTGGACCATTGCCAACGAGAAAAACGAGGAGGGAACCCCGCCTTTCCCATTCCGGCTGAGGGGGCGGTGTTCCCATCCCAATCCCGCCCTTCCCCTTCCTTCCCCGCTCAGCACACCAGATGGCCTAAATCCTAAAAGAGAGACCACAAATTCGAATCTCAAGGAAATCGTCGGTTCCACACAGCCAATAGTACTAAAAATGGGAATAAAGTTCTTATTACAGAATAGAGTAATTGAGTTATCGAAGCAAACAGAAAACGTAAAGACACAGATTTAACGTGGTTCACCAATGTTGTGTTGGCTACATCCACATGCAAGAACGAAGGCAAACTGTATTATGACAACAGTTCTAGAGTACATAATTTTTCTGTCCTACATTTATATAAATAGGCACACAAAACAGACTAGGCCTAATACAATAATTAGAGCCCAATACAATAACATAGCATATCGATTCAAACAATACATATTCAAAGCAGATCAACAAAAGCAAAATACATAAATATCTTTGAAATTAACTTATTAGATTACT